ACATTCTGGGGAACGGTCAGTGTGCGCTCGGGGCGGTGGGGGGGGGCCCAGGGCGCCCTTTCCCCCGGAGCGAATGTGCCCACAGGTGTTCGGACGGGGCGCTGTTTCCCTTATTCCCACGGGGCCTACAAGCCCTGCGAGGTGTCCGGCTGGTGCCCCGTGGAAGATGGGGCCTTTGTAAGGTGCGCCCCCCCCCCTGGGCCCAAGGTCCACCCTGCTCTTTCCTCCTCAGTGGGCGGGGGGGGGGGGGGCAGTGCGGCTGCAGAGCCTGGGGAGACTGAACACGCAGTCTGTCTCCTCAGCCAGTTTCTTGGCAAGATGGCCCCCAACTTCACCATCCTCATCAAGAACAGCATCCACTACCCCAAGTTCCAGTTCTCCAAGTAAGAGCCCTCGGGTGGGAGAGGGGACCCGGGAGGAAGCTGCCTTCCGAGGATGCCCACCCACCTGCGCCCGGCGTCCTCAGGGGCAACATCGAGATGCGCAAGGATGGCTACCTGAAGCACTGCCTGTTCGACGAGGTGTCCCACCTGTACTGCCCCATCTTCAGGCTGGGCTTCATCGTGGAGCGGGCGGGGGAGAACTTCACGGAGCTGGCCCGCACGGTGAGGCCAGGCACCAGGCCGGCCGGCCCGGCTCGCAGAGGATCGGCGCCCCATCCGGCCGTGCATGGCTCCCGCTCAATCACTGACTCCTGGTCACACAGCCCCTGCTCCCCTCATGCCCCAGAAATGGGTGCTCACCAAGTGCCCCGGTTCTATGTGCACCCCAGGCACCGCCTCAGGGTGGGACCCCAGGGCTGAGGGTCCTGTGTGCCTGCCCTGACCCCATCTCTGTGCCCACCTCTGGGCAGGGTGGTGTCATTGGGGTCATTATCAACTGGGACTGTGACCTGGACCTGCCGGCGTCCAACTGCAACCCCAAGTACTCCTTCCGGAGACTGGACCCCAAGCACACCCCGGCCTCCTCTGGCTACAATTTCAGGTACGTGGGCCCTGGGACACCTGGATCCTCACTCACCTGTGTGGTGGCTTGGGCGCAAACAGGGAGGGGCCGGTGGTGGGCAGTCTTGGTGCTGCCCTACTCTGGCGACAGGCACGCCCACCACCGGTTCCTCAGGGGCAGGCGGCCAGGGCCGTTTCAGGTTCTGACATGCTTCCGGGTCATCCCACCCCAGGTTTGCCAAGTATTACAAGATAAACGGCAGCACCACCCGCACCCTCATCAAGGCCTACGGCATCCGCATCGACGTCATCGTGCACGGACAGGTAGACCAGCCGGCCCTGCTTCCCTGGGGTCCAGGTGGGCCGGCCAAGCTGAGCTGGTCCAGCTCCGTGACCCCTCCACACGACCCACCCCGGAGGGTCTGAGGCAGCCTCCTCTCCCCAGGCAGGCAAGTTCAGCCTGATCCCCACCATCATTAACCTGGCCACAGCGCTGACCTCCATCGGGGTGGTAAGGAGCGCGCACTGGGGTCCGGGCACGCGTGCGTGTGCGTGTGCGTGTGGTGGTGGTGGGGGGTCAGGCCACGCCCTCACGCATGTTTGGCTGCCACAGGGCTCCTTCCTGTGCGACTGGATCTTGCTGACATTCATGAACAAAAACAAAGTCTACAGCCACAAGAAGTTCGACAAGGTGTGTACGCCACAGCACCCCCCAGGTAGCTGGCCTGTGACCCTGGCCCTTGTTTTGGGCCAGGCCCCTCCGCCCCCCTGTGCCTGCTCCACAGACCCAGGCAGACCACAGGACGAGGGGCAGAGCCAGGCCCAGGCTGTCCCACCACCACGGCCTGGTCCCACCTCTGCCCCATCTGAGCAGATGGTGGACACTCCCGATCGGGGTGCAGGAGCCGGGCCTCGGGCCTCCGAGCCTCCCCAGCAGGACTCCACGCTCACAGACCCCCGAGGCTTAGCCCAGCTCTGAGCCCCCTCCCCGCTCACACTGCAAAGGCTGCCCTGGCCTGAAGCAGGTGGGACCAGCATGGAGCGCCCGGCCCTGCCCCCACATGCCTCCTCACAGCTGGGAACGAAAGGGCCCCATGCAACTGGGCAGTGGGCTGAAAGGGGGCAGCACCCTGCTCCCAGCTGCCCCCTCCATCCCCAATCCTCATCCCTCCTGCCCACACCACCTGCCCAGACCGGTTGCTGGGCTCCCTAGCCAAGAAACCACGTCCAGAATCCAATAAACCTGTGACATTTACCATCTTGCCCTGTGTTTTGGGAAAAGCGTGTGGAGGCCCTGAAGACAAATACTAGTTAGCACACAGCGGTGGGTCCCTGTGCAGGGGCTTTGCCAGCCAGCAGTGCCCAGGCTCATGGCTGCCCTCTGGTCCAGCCTGGTCCCAGCACATCTGACCAGGGCCAATGGGGTGGGGGGTGGGAGGCAGGCTGAGTGCATGACCCTCTTGTCTCAGCGCTGCCCTTGTCAGTGCGTCACCACCTTCCTGCAGGGGTCACCCCAGGCCCCCAAATAAGGGAAAGGACGGCAGCCAGGAGGGAGGGGATGAGTTGCACCCAAGGAAAGCTGCCGGGCTGCCATTTGGTGTGGGGTGTGGGGTGTGGGCCTGGCCAGGCCTGTGGGTAACTGGCTCCTGCATCCTCAGATGCCACAGCTCATTACGTTCAACGGACCAGTTTGGCTGGACATGGTTTCTCTAGCAACAGTGGTGGCGTGTGCAGGTGTGAGGAGGCATGAGCCAAGCACCTTGCACAGACCTCACCAGTGGTCCCATCACGCCCAAGCTCAAGGGGAGGGTGGGTTCAGACCATACCAGCCCTGGGGCCCCCCCAAGTCTGAATGCCCTTCCCACCTGCCTATTGGGCTTGCCCCACTGGCTGCGGCCAGCAAACGCTCCATTTGACCCCACCCAGCCACCTTCAGCTCCTCCCCCCCTTGGGACACTGGCTGCACAGGTCACCCAAATGCTGGACACCCCATGGGTCTGGCTCACAGATGTCCAGCTCTAGTTTCGGAGAAACTGGCTTTTCTAGTCGGGGCTGGGCTGCAAGCTCAAGAACCAGGGCCAGGGGCTCAGGTTTCCTAAGCAGAGTGACCAGGGCCTAGCACCCCAAATGCCCCCACCCAAGCTGACCTCCAGGGCACAGCTGGGAGCTGCAGAAACCAGGGTGCCCAGGCCCTGTCTTGCTGCAGGGACAGGCGTGCAGTGTCCAGGGTGCTGCTGTGGGCGTCCCCACCTCCCCCGACGTCTCCAGCATCATTACCAGGAAGCTGTTAGCCCCCCCACCCAGACCTAATCTGATTTGCTCTCCATTTGGGGCTGACGTGGGCTCCATCCACCTTCCAGCCAGCGTCAGGTTTCTCCTGGCCGTTGGGCCTGGCCCAGCCGGTGGGTGGTATCAGGGGCCAATGCTGCTGTACAGACAGCTGCCAGCTGGTCAGCCTTCCTTCCTCCCAGACGGAGCAGCAGCGTGCACACACACAGCACACGTCTCGACAGAAATGAGCTAGTAAGGACCAAGTTAAACCAGCTGAGGCCCCTGGCCCTCCCGTGAGGTTTCTGAATTTGCCGCCTCACCACCTGGGTGTTTTTTTTTACATGGGATGGACGGGTTTTTTGTCCTGTCCCCAGTCCGATTTTGTTTACAAAGTGCACAGAGCTCGTCTTATGGTCTGGGGCTGAAGACAGACGGAGGGAGAAGCTGGCACTCGGAAAGGCTCTAGGCCTGGGCTGGACCCTGAGCTGGTGCCCTGCACGGTCCCAAGTCCCGGGGCGACCTGAGCTGAGGAACAAGAACAGAACCTCCTCCTCCTGACAAAGGTGCTGCTTCCTTTCTCTTCCCCTTCCCATGAAGGAAAGAACCTAAAATCTTGTGGGTGAAAAATTATTTTTCCAAAGTCCAAGAGGTAACAGGTACAATCCATGATCAATGGGTGACCCCCTGTGCCAGGCCTCCTCGGAGCACAGGTAGGCTCTGAGGGCAGGTGGTGTGGTCAAGCTCCATCTGAGAAGCCCCGGCCCAGATGAGGGGATCACCTGATGCAGACCCCGCCCCCCTCTCTGACCAGGAAGTCTCCACAGAGAAATCCAAGCCCAAGTGCAGGGATGCCAGCCGTCCCGGAACCTGCCCTCTGAAAGATGCCCAGGCCCCCAAGGGCTCAGGGCCTGATTCCTGGAACTGGCCACACCCACGGGTGAAGCCGTGGAGGGCGTCTCTGAGGTCACAGTGCCTGGGAGCAGAGGTGCAGTTTCCCACCCAGGTGTCCCTTGCCCTGGGTCTGGCCTACGCCTCCCTCCCCCAGGTTTGGCTCAAGCAGAAGGCCCTGAGGGCAAAGGGGATGCAGAGGTGGGGCAGGAGGGCCAGGCCCTGCAGCAGCAGCAGCAGAGGCCACACGTGTTTGTGCACGAGAACGACCCGTCAGGCTGCCCTGACCGAGGCTGGGACTGGGACCCAGGTGGGCCGCTTCCTGCTCTGGCTGGATGGCTGGTTTGGGCCAAGTGACCCCTCCCCGGAAGCACCCTGAGGGTCATTTTCTTTGGTGCTGAGTCCTGGAGATGGTCTCCAGCTGGGAGGCTGGGGCAGAGAGGGGACAGAGAGGGGACAGGCCCGCCTGGCTAATGGCCCAGCTGGGGGTTCTTCTGCAGCAGCCACTCCAGGGTCTCCATGAGGTATGACATGCCATAGTGCTGGGCAATGTTCCGGAAGATTCTGATCTGCTCCATGAAGACCTGCAGAAGAACCAGTCGCCATGAGACCCAGTCCCAGAGGAGGTGCAGGGATGCGGACCGAGGCCCGGAGCGTAGGGAGAGAGAGGTGTGGGCGAGGGCCAGACGGGCAACGGCCAGGGGCAGCCGCCCAGACCTTGGTGTGGATGGTGAGGGCGAAGCCGCCCGCACAGCTGCAGTACACGGACATGTTGGTCTCCTTCACGCCTCGGCACTTCAGGCAGATCTGAAATGAGGAAGAGCCCAGTCAAGAGCTCCACCCCCCGCCAGCCCCCCGCCTGCACCTCAACTGTGGATAAAAGCCAGACCGCACAGCGGCCTCACCTAACGTCCAGCTGCTTCCCCGCCCTCGCTGTGGGCCCACCCACCCGGCCACACCAAGCGCCGTGTTCCTGCCCAGAACCCATGCCTCCCAGTCCCCGCATCAAATGCTGAACACCCCGTCTCTCTCACACAAACACACACACACACCGCTGGTTCTGGACCCTCATCCCACTTACACCCTTTATCTTGTTTGCCATCTATCTCCCTCCACCAGAAGGGAAGGCCCAGGAGGCCAGCACTTGGCCGCTGTAGGTGCCCAACAGGAGCTATAAGACTGAATCACTTGGGCTGTGGATGAGGCCTGACCCAACAGGTGGTCATTTCGAAGGACCAGGTTATGACCTGAGACCCGCTGCTCACCAGGTCCTGCAGGGTGAAGGCCATCAGCTTCTTCTGCAGGGCTTCCACCAGGGCCATTTCGATCACCGAGGAGTCGTAGGCGGCCTGGCAGTTGGAGCAGAACCACTGGGGCAGCACAGCCCCGTCCTGGGCAGAGAGGGAGCAGGTCATCTTTTGCCCACCTCCCTGGCAGTGCCCCTCCGCTAGGCCGAGGGGACCAGCCTTGAGGAGACTGGGGCAGAGCCTTCCTGAGAGGTGAGAGGTGCATAACCACCTGCGGCAGCTCACTCAGCCCCGGGGCACCTCCCATCACCACACCGTCCTCACACGTTCACTGGATGATGATCCAGCACGTGGCAGCCGAGGGCCGTAAGAAAGCCGCCAGCTCCTAGTCATGTCAGAGGTAGCGGACGTGAGTCACCCACAAGGGAGAGACAGGTCACACAAGAGTGGGTGCTCCCACCTGAGAGAAGGACGGGTCTTTGCACAGGTCCAGGTCCCGGCAGAAGTTACAGCTGTGGCAGATGACCTCTGGGAGCACATAGGAGCGGCAGGGGTCTCGGAACTGGGCCTCCTCCGAGAACTCACCAACGTCCACCAGGCGGAGCAGGTCCCGATTGAGCTTGTTCACCTGGTTTGTGATGTTTGTGTCCAAAGACAGGACCTGCAGAGAACAGGGCGCGGTGAGGGCAGCTCCCGGGCCTCCTGCTGCTCTGTCTGGACTGAGACCGCGTGGCCGAGCACCACCTCACACTTCCTATCCTGTCAGATCTGCCTCCTCTGCAGCAGTGGTTCCCTCACGGCCTCAGCTCCAGGGACTCGGGCTCTGCCTGTCAGCCTCACTGGCTCCTTTTCCCTGAGTGACAGGCAGTCCCAAGTCTACTGGAGACTTACAATCTCACGTGCGAAGTGGCTAATGTCCACCCTCAGGGTGAGGGACTGCCCGGCCCACCCAGGGGCCTGCAGAGCCGAGGGGGAGCCAGCTAACCCTCCTGTCTGTAAGGAGGGCTTTTCCTCCCCTAAAGCTCTGCTGCCACTTGATCCTGGCGAGTCCGTCACCGTGAGATGCAGTGGCGAGGAGGTGACTTCATGAGCAGCGAGGCGCCTGCTTGTCCTGGTCTGGTAACAGTATTCCACCTTTGATTCCGTCTCCTTTCCCAGAACAGCATTTGGCATCCATGAAAGCCTGGGTGTTTCGGGAGCTCCGTGTGCTCCCGGTTCGTCTGGCCCTCTAGCCCCACAGGGCCTTGAGCACCTGCTATTTCACCAGCACCCCCAGATCACCCCACCCCAGGGCCTTCACCCATTCGGCCCAGACATCGTTCCTTCCTGGGATCCACATGTGGCTGGACCCTCCTGGTCACTGTGGTCTTAGCCCCAGGCCCCATCAGAGGCCCCTCACCTTCCCCACTTCTCCGAGCCCAGCTCACAGCACCTGTGCTCCCTGAACTCACCCCCCTCACTGACCGGCCGCTCCCTCATTGGAGCACAGGCTCCAGGAGCTGCCAATAGCTCACACGGGCTGTTCAGAACGGTGGGCAGAGTGTTGTGGGAGAAATGCGTTTCTTACTCCTGCCCTCACCTTGCACACATACTTGATGAACTCCAGGGCAGGGTTATTAAGCACCAAGTGAGAGCCGGGCAGGACAGGAAACATCTCTGAGAGCTCAGCTGAGTTCCGAGAGCCCGTGACTTTCCTCTGAATCTTCTGGGTGATGGTGAAGAAGTTCTGAGTGAGTTCATTTGCCACGTAATCTTGAGAGAAGGTGATCATTCCTGGGGAGAGGGGTGACATGGTGCTGCTCCCACTTGGCACAGTGACGAAGATGCTGAGGAAGCAACAGGGGACCCCGCCCTGGAGGGGGGCGAGGGGTCAGGTCACAGGTGCGCGGTCTCGGCAGCAAGGGTGCGCTCACCGGGCAGGGCTCCGGCTGCCGCCTGGGCCTCCTGCGACGGCTGGCTGGCTGCCCGTCTCCTCACGGGGGTGCTGCCCGGGGTGCTGCGCCTCAGCTCCTCCTTCATGCTGTGGTACACGGCCACGATGTACGCTGCAGAGGGGCACAGGACTGGAGCTGACGACGCTCAGGACCCGGAGTCCAGGGAGACCCGGTGGCTGGTCGGACCGCCGGCCATCCTGGCTGAAATGTTGTTACTGGCGATGATTCTATTTGATGCATTTAGAGGAGCCAGAGCCCATACAGAAACGGGAATGATGCCCACGTTCATGCTTAGAGAGCACCATCTACATGAGGCAACTCTGCTCAACCTTCACACTGGGCAGCGACAAAACAAAAGCTCAACTCCGGTCGCACACCAGACCCACGTTTCAAAAGAACTCGACAAAGTGAGACTCGGGACACGCAGATAAAATATAAAACAAGCACAATGGCACCACCTCAGCACCTTGTGACCACGTCCGAGTGCTGAGCCCGGCAGGCTTGTCAGGAACGGTCCTGTCCTATGATGGGCGTTGCAGGTTTGTGCTTCATTTGTACCTCAGCCTGGATAGTCTGGTTTGTAAACACTAAACCTTAGACCATTTAGACCCAAATCAGTGACAGGAGATCCCAACAGCAGAAGCTCAGCCTCAGAGCCCAGTGGCGGGCAGTTCAGGAAGTGCCCCGTCTCCCCTACCTGGGCTTTACCTTTAGTTGCCACACGTGCACACAAATCTTGGGGCAGAACTAGGAGCCCCTCGGGGACAGCCCTCCTCAGCAGGTGCAGCGAGAGGGGGAGGCCCTGTACCCCTGGTTTCTCTTGTGAGGCAAACGGACCAGGACCTCATTGTTCCGCGGACCACGCAGCCGTGACAGCTGAGAGGCTCACCTGAGACGATCATGAGGAAGTAGCCCTGGCAGGAGGCTGCCTGTGGCAGGAACTGCACGATGTTCCAGTTGTTTTCCAGCAGGTCCTCCACATCCGGTTCCTGCCCGTCATCATCCTCGCCCCCGTCATCCTCACCTTCCTCCTCAGGCTCCTCCTCCTCCTCTTCTGCTCTGCCCTCTTTCTGGGGGTCCTGCTGTAACAGTCCCAGCCATGACTGCCCGCAGCCGTGGGATGCATACCCCAGCTGAGTCATGTTGACCCTGGTCTACCCCGAGCCGGCAGGTCCCCGCAGACACTCTAACAGCACGTCAGGTATGTCACAGGCCTGGGGCTCAGCGCACTCACCTTGTGGAGATGGTTCCCGCTCCACCCTCCCCAGGGTTCACGCCACAGCTGCCTCCTCCCACCCCCCAGAAAGGGAAGAACCAGCAGTGCCCTGGCGACCAGTCCTACGGTCCAAGTTCCACATCTCCCGGTCGGCTCCCTACTGCGATGCCCATGCCTGAGCAGGTTCCGCTCTTGACAGCACCTTCCAGGTTAACACGGGAAGTCTGATGCCTGCCATCCTGAGCAGCAGCCACCACTGCGCTTCCGACTACACCGCTTGCACCTCCTATTCTCCCATCCAGCCCACGGACCTCCCACCTCAGCACAGCACCAAGGGCAGCCTTCTCCCGCCAGCTCTCTCTCAGCAGCATGGCTCCCACCAAATCCTCATCAAGGCCACGGGCACCAATGGCCTGCCCTGGCCAGCTCTCAGCCACCCGTGACCACTGCCCTCACCCGCCGCTGGACTCACAGCTGCCTCACGCCAGTCGCTGAGCCTTGCTCCCTGCAAGCTCCACTTCCCACCACACCCCGAGTCCTCTGGGGCCTCCCCTCCCCGGTCGGCCCCGACCCTGGCTGCTGGTCCTGATCCCACCCCTGCTGACTCTGATCCTGCACCTCCTTTGTCTGCGTGCTCGCGACCTCTCCTCAGACGCGTGAGCACAACGTGTGGCCGACGGACAGATGCAGACCCCAGAGAACTTCAGCCGCCAGGAATGTCACCTCACCCGTCCACAGTGGATGCGAGAGGGCACGTTTCCTTTGATGCCACCATAGTTGGAGGGATCCATCCAGAGAAGAAACTCCCAGCACCGAGAGAAGGAGATCGTCAGGGAGTGGAAGATCTCCTTAGAGTGGATGCTGGAAAGAAGCAGAAGAGAGACTGGTTCCACGAAATCAACAGTTTTCTCTCTTTTTTCCACTTTCCTTCTTACCCTCCACTGATTTAAAACCTTCAAACTTCCTACGGAAAATGACAGGAAAATGGCCAATAGTAGTGAGGAGACTTCTGCATCTGGGTGGGAGTAACGGGAGGCGTGAAGGGCTGGAGAGGCAAGAAGCCTCCCGGGCTGGTCCCAGCTCTCCCCGGAGCCCGATCCCACACGCCTGCTCCCATCGCCACTGGAGAGCCTTCTTCAAGGGTGGGGAATAGTGAGCTCTGGACTAATGGTGCTCTGGCCCTGCCTACAAATCTCAAAAAGGCCCCCCCAAATCAAACTGTTTTCAAGTAACAACATAAAGCCCCAGAACAGTCACAGGAATGCAAAAGCATCCAACACACAAGTCAAGACCCAGTGTCTGGCACCAACAGAAGGTCACCAGTTTGCAGAGAAGCAGAGAAGCAGCCCAGAGTGCGGAGACAGGCCTGCCAACCGCAACCAGCCCCACCCCCACCGGTGCCGGGGCGAGCAGAGGACCGGGAGCACTAAAGCTGCACTGCACCTAGCTGAAGGGAAGACCAGAAACAGAGGAGACAGCACCACGTCTGAGGGGGGTTTGGGGCAGATGACACAGCGCCGAAGACGGGTCAATTTAAAGACTTAACAGAAGTTATCCAGAAAGAAGCACAGAGAAGGAAAAAGACTCAAAAAAGACCCATCTACAGTTCTATAGCTGGTGAAAATCTCTCTCAGAATGAAGGTGAAATTAAGGCTTTGCCAGATCTCCAGAGGCAGAAGACGGATGTGGCTGCCACAGACCAGCCACAGGCTTGTGCCAGGAGCTCGGAGAGCAGACGGCACAGGACAGAGGAGCAGACTGAGAGGGGCGGTGCTGACACCTGGTGGTGATGTACTCCACGTAGGCCAGGGCGTCCTCGATCCGCCGCTTCTTCGTGCACAGGACGATGCGGTTGAAGTTGGCATAAACCACTGATGACCCCAGGCGCTTGAACTCAGCGATGAGCCTGAGGACCAAGGACAGAATCAACAGTCAGGACGCTACAGAGAATCCCAGGAGACACCGTGAGGCAAACTGGATGATCTGAAGCAGAAAAGCCTGGAACCCAGAAGCAACAACGCATGAAGGTTTCTACATGGAAAACACACCATAAACAAAGCCAAACAGAATCAAAAACAGGAAAAAATGTGCAACTCATTTCATAGAAAATGATTCTTACATAGAAAGGACTCACAAATCAATGAGAAAACAACACAACTAGAGAAAAGTGGACAAAAGGTATGAAGAGAAAGCCCACTTCATTCATCACGAGGACTGCAGGTTAGGAGCCACAATAACTACCTCCCCTTCCCCAAGCCCCGCCCCCGGTCAGCTGGCACTGTGCCCACCACGCAGGAGGGGCTGGGCTGGCAGAGCCATCGATGGAGAGCTCTTGGGCCAGCACCCAGTGAGCACCTCTCCCAGTCGTAGGATCCACCAGCGCGGCAGCAGGGCCGCTTCCTGGGATCCCTGCACGGGACCCTCGCATGCCCTTACGCACAGGCTGTGCCTTGGTTATTGGTAACAGCCCAAGTTCTGGGAACCGCCTCTGCGCACTACCATGGACGGTGCACCTCATGCAGACCTCCAAGGTCGACCATTAATTCGACAAGGAGGTCAGACACCGTGTACAGCCGCTTGTGCAGAAACAGCAGGAAGACTGTGTTGCGCGAACCGGCGGCGGGCCGTGTGATCCCACAGGTGCTGGGCCCGGGGACACCGGCCGGCACACTCACTGCAGGAAGAGCTTCTTCATCATGCTGTGCAGCGTGCGGTGCAGGGCCGGGTCGTGGAGCAGCGAGGACGGGGAGCGCAGCCAGCGGTAGAAGTGCATCACCTGGTTGTCGGCGTAGACGTTGCGGTACTGTGTGATCTCCCTCACCCAGCCCACCACCATGCTCTTCAGGATCCTGGAGGGGGAGAGCGTGTTCCCCAGTCACCCTCCCTCTCCAAACCCCACTGCTCAGCTCTCTGCACCCCTTGGACGAGGCTAGCCCTCCCACCTCCCCATACACTTCTCAACCCTCCCACCTCCGTGCCAGAATACAGACTAGAATGGTGGGTGTCGGGCACCTCACCGGCCGGGAGAACCAGGACAGACTCTACCCAGCAGGTGGAGGGAAGCCCCAGTGACAATGTCTTAGCTCTGAGTTTCCCAAAACAAGGGCAGAGGATAAAAGGATTCCTACTGTCCCTTCTCAACCCCAGACTGTTATTCTGCCTCTCGAGAGGAGAGGACGCAGACGGACACCTGAAGGTGCTGGAGCAGAGGGCTGTCTCGTCGTAGCTGGCGGGAGCGTTGGCGGCCTGGTTGCCGGTGATCATGTCCTCCAGGGAAGCCTGCTGGATCACGTCGAAGCTGATGCCCATGCTGTCGGCCCCCTCCATGTCGTTGACGTGGTGAGATTGCAGGATGGTGTTGACCGCCAGGTTCTGAATGTCCAGCTCCACACACACTGCACACAGACACATACCTGTGCACTGACCACCCCAGGGTGTAGAGCCCACCCCCAGCAAGCCTTCTCTCAGAAACATTGCTGCTGGTCACAGAGCCCGCCCCGACTCATCCCACACCAGCGTGGCCCAGCTCTGAGGGTCAGCGCTGGGATTCTCGCCACTAACAACACGAACACCAGCTGCTGAGATCCCTGTGGGCCTCCCCACCCACCTGTGGAGTAGCAGCCTGAACTGTTGATCTCCACGGTGGCTTGGTCCTCAAACTCCATGATGAGGCGGTTGTCGTCGGCCTCCTTCCCGCCCAGGTCAGGGCGCCAGGTAGGGGACAGCCAGAGCAGGTGGTTGTGGCGCTGGAGGTGGCGGGCGAAGAAGAGGTCGGAGCCAAAGGTGGAGATGTCCTCAGGCAGATTCCCAATGGGGATATGGAAGTACCTGCACAGGGTCAGGGTCAGGGTCAGGGGGGGAGTTCCAGGCTGGTCTCAGGAGGGGGTGGAAACTGGGAAGATCAACTTGCTGTCAGAGACTGACAGGCCGGCAACATGAAGGTGGGCAGAGCGGCTGAAACACCAAGCAACAGCCCTATACTCTGCTCACCGGCTCATCTCAAAAGCCTGCGACAGGCAGGTGTCCAGGTTGAGGTAGTGGCGGATCATGCGCCGGGCTCCATGGCGCTGCCAGTCCAGGACTCCGTAGCTGATCTTGTCGGCCACGCGGACAGGCACCAGCGGGAACTCCTCCAGGACGGGAATCTCGCCGGCCAGCCTCCTCAGCTCCCAGTTGGACTGCACGGCGATGAGGGTGGGCCCCCGGCGCTCCTCCTGGGCACAGGAAAGCAAGCAGCTGGGAGGACCCGTTCTGGGGGAGAGGCTCCAACAGCAGCACCCCCACTTCACTCACCTTGTAGGCCAGCAGGAAGCGCTGGATGGCTCTGCAGATGGTCTTCAAGTCGGTCTCAGCCCGCACTTCAAATGTATGTTTTGGGGGCGGCAGGAGCTCGGGGCCCACTTTCTCCAGCAGGAGGCTGTGCTCGGCCGAGTACAGGGCGCTGAGGCTGGGCATCTGGTTGCTTCGCACCTGAACAAGGGCCAAGTCAGCTCTCCCCCCAACCCCTGCCCCCGCAGGAGGGGTGGTTCCACTTCTCACTCACTCCCCACAGGCACTCATGGGCAGAGGCTTCCAGAAACAAGGCGGGGCTAGGACATCCCTGCCCAGTGGTCTGTCCTCCCATAGCCCTGGACGAGAACTCACAGTGTCCAGCACAAATACGGACGCCCTGCGCTGAGAGGGCACGAAAATGCCGAAGAGCGCCTTGTGGCCGTGTGTGCGATGGTACAGATAGATGTGGCGGATGCTCCCTATGGAGGACACACAGGTCACCTGGGATTCGTGGGAGGTGGGGCCAAGCGGGGCAGCTGGCACACACCATACCTGGTTCCAGGTAGCTGAACTGGGCCAGAGAGCGCATCTCCAGGTGCTCAAGAGTGAAGGTTTCTGCTTCCCAGCCCGACAGGTGCCTCACCAGCTGTTTACTGACCACACACACACAGCCCAGGTGCACCAGGGCCCGGAACAGTAACGGCACCTACAAGGCGTCAGGGTGGGTGGGGCTGAGGGGGGCGGCAGTTGGGGCATAGCCCCTCTGCTCCAGGCCATCGCTGCAGAAATTCTGTCCTGGGGTGGAATCCAGTGGCTACTGCTGGCCTTCTCACGCCCTACGTGGGCCTCTCCCCTGTCCCATCCAGCTCGATCCTTGCTCAGTGCAGCTGGGAAGGCAGTTACCTGAGTCTCGTACACGCCCTCGATGTCTGGGGCTGACAGCTCGGTATTGATCTCATTGATGTGCTCTTGGTACATGTCCTCCGGCACTGAGTACTCATAGAGATTGTAGACCGTGTTGGAGCGAGGAAGGACTCGATTCACCTGGGGCAACAGCAATGACCTTGTCACACGGCAAGTGGTGAGGTTTGTTACACACACACATGCTTGTTTAAACAGTCCTAGCACATCCGGTGCCCACAACTGTGGGGTACCCTCCGTTTCCTAGCACATCTGGTGCCCACAACTGTGGGGTACCCTCCGTTTCACTCTCCAGAGTAAAACTAAAGCTCGGGGCACAACAGAAGCCTCTAAGTCCTCTGAGAGGCAGTCAAGCTCAGACGCAGCAGGTCCCAGTTCACTTTCCTCTGTCCTCTCCTGGTTTATGAGGGTGCAGGCGGCAAAAACCAGGAGCCCCGGGGGACAGTGGGGAGGTCCTGGTGCGGAGGGAGCAGGAGAGGCACCCAAAGGGTAGAGTGTCCTGAAAGCCACAGGAGCTCCAGGCCCCTGTCCCCTCCTGTGCTACGCCCTCCCCGTCTCTCCCCACATCCACATCCTACCGAGTGCCCAGGGTGGAGTCTCACCGTCTCCAGAAACCTCCTCCCTCACTCCAGCTCCCACACACGTCTATGCTCCACAAGTGAGCTCGTTCTGCAGTTCCCTGCGCCCGCCTGAGAAATGGGCCAGGGCAGCCTCCGTGAGCTCTGGCCGGTGCTCACTGACACCAGGTGAGAACCACGAGGACCCACCTGAGGAGGAGGCAGAGCCCCCCACCCGCCCCTTATAGGAAATGTCTGCGGTGGGCTCGTCTAGAGGCAGACCGTGGCTGGTGGCTGCTGAGGGCTGGGGGAGGAGACTGCTCCGGGGCCTGGGATGTCTCCTGGGGATGATGGAAATGTTCTCAGATAAACTGTGGCGTTGGCTGCACGACGGAATATACTGTCAGCAACAGAACTGTACTTTAAGTGAGGGAGCTGCACGCGTGTGAATGACACCCCGTAAAGCTTTAGCTCCAGAAAAGCCTATGGAGACAAAGCTGCCGTGTGACCACTATCTAACCCCTCTCTTCCCTGCTACGTGGACGTCAGACAGACACGGAGGACGGTGCCCCCAGGACAAGGCACCAGCAGCTCAGCCCTTCAAGAGGGCGTTTCAGTAACTGCTGCAGCATCCGAGAAGGTTCTTAGGAGATGGAGGCTCCAGACACCTGGCTCAGGGCCGTGCAGCCCACCAGTCTGTATCTGCAAAGCCTGATTCCTTCTGCAGCCCCATCGCCGTGGAGACAACCTCAGAGGCAACAGCTGCCTCCGGTACCTTACGATATGCAGTTCCCTCCTCTGCTTTGGGCACCCGCTGGTTCACGTAGAACACCCGGGGGATGTTCAGCTTGATGCAGTGCAAGTCGCTGCCGATGACAGCCCACAGGCGGAACAGGCCAGCCTGGCTGGTCTCGCTGATCTGAAAGGAAACATCGTACAGCAGTGCGTGTCAACCTGTCACAGAAAAAGCTCAACACACGTGGACAGGCTGCCTCCCAGGCGGCCTCCAGCACCAGCTGCAATCAGAGGCATGGAGGTCAAGGTCTGCCCTTTCTCCTCCATCCCAGACCCCTTCCCATCAGCCATGCTGCTGCCCCGGGGACGCCCGTGCACACCTGCACGATCTGCCACGGGAGGTCCAGAACGCTGCGGGCAGTTCTTCGCAGGAAGCCCCCCAGCCCTGTGCTGGGCCTGTCTCGCACAGGTCCGGGCTGCAGCCCGTCTGCTGCCTCCAGACGCTGCTTCTTCCGGCGGGCAAGGCGCTGTCGGGCCTGCAGCTGCCACTTCTTCTTGTGGAACCGGAGCCAGACCAGCCACTCTTCCTGGGACAGATGAAGGACAAGTCAAAGGGAGACAGAACACCTGCCATGACAACGGACACACACAGCTTCCCAGTGCCAACTCCTCAGGGTCAAGACGGTCTCCGTGTCCTGCACGGCTCAGCAGGCCCCGCGGGAGACAGCACACTGCGTGGGCCTGACTGGGGTCTGCGCCCTTCGCCCACTGGCCAGTCCAGATGCCCTGAGGCTTCTTACCTGGGTGGTTCCGAGGGCGGGAGGCTGCCCCAGGATCTCCTGCCAGGACACCGTCAGCCCCAAGTCCTGTGAGTCCTCCTGGCTCTCCCAGAGGACCCGCTTCCTCTTCGTAGCAACGGGGACGGCGGTGTGGGGAGGCTTCTCAAGGCCAAAATCCTCCATGTCGGGAGCACCCAGGCTCTGGGCGCCATCCGGAGCCTGGGCCACCCCCACCTGCAACCACCCGAAGAGGACCTCAAACACGGCTCTCTGCAAATCCACCTCTAAAAACCCATCTGAATGGGATAAAGTACCCGGATACAAAGTTACTCATTAAACTATTTTTAACCTAAAAACCTCCTATCACAAAAGAACACTGGGAGGAATTAAAGGGCAGCGTATCAAGGTGTACATTTTTAGAAAAAAAAAAAAAAATTCCAGACACCTGGATGGAAGCATCCAACCTCACGAACAGCAGCACGGGGACTCGGGTGCTGGGTGCCCCTGGGACCAGCCCGCCCTCCCCACGGCCTCCAGGTCCCAGGCCAGGCCCCATCACCTGTCTCTTGCCCTCGAGGATGAAGAGCTCGCTGATCTTCTTCTGCTTGTAGACATCGTTCTTCTCCAGTAGTTTTTTGTGCAGCCAGTCAGGGTGTTTGACGCGAGGCACGGGGTTCTTCACCTGCATGAGGTGGGGCTCGTCACTCGTCTGACCGTGAGTCTGGGCCACGCTCAGATTCCCGTGGCTTTTAAGCCACACGGGGGCCGGCTTCCGGGGTCTGACCTCACCTGCTGCAGAGCTGCGGGGATGGTGATGATCTTCTGAATGGCGCTGCCCAGCCGCTCGATGTAGTAGTCCCAGTCCAGAATCTGCAGGGACGACGGGCGCGTGAGGAAGGCGGCAGCAGCAGCAGCACTGCCCTTCCCTGCATCTTACTGATCCTCTTGGAAAGTCTCTGACCAAAGTGCCCATTTCTCAGAGGAAACGGAGGTGCAGAGCTGCGCCAGGCCAAGCCTCGGCTTGTCGGACTCAGTGAAAGCCCGAGTCTAGCTTTTCCAGCTTTGCCCTAAAGTCTATTTCTTCACACATCACACGTCAGAAAGGGGGACGCCAAGAGTGACGACTAAGCTGCGGACCTCGGAGAGTAGAAAAGAGCAGCACTGACCGTCCGAATGTCCAGGTCCTGCAGGGACGAGGTCTTCAGCCATTTCCGGAGGAAGTGCCGCCTCACGGTGGGCTCTGCCTGGAAGATGGCGAGTGGGATGGCCCTGGAGACAAGGGGCACAGCGCACACCAGTGCCGTCTTTTACGTGGAAACAGATTCAGCACCGAGTCTGTAACCTGCTTTCATTTAAAGCTATTTTGTATAAACTATACCCAACATTTGTTTATTGTGCCTAGTAACTAAATATACTTCATTGTGTAAAAGATCATGGTTTAATAGCCACACCCCACCAGCGGCCATGGGGGCTGCTGCTTGGCCACCGTGAAGAGCCGCTGACAAATGCCCTCACTAAACGGCACATGCGTGTGCACGCACACAGCTGACCACTCCTGAAGGGCTCTTCATTGGGTAACGGACAGGAAGTCCTCTCTTTCCTGGAAGAACGAGCCAGTTTGCGTGTCACCAGCAAAGTGAGAGGGCAGCTGGCGGCAGTGCTTGCTGCCGTGCAATGTCATGAACATAAAGAAACAGGAAGAAAGAAACACCTGTGCGCCCATCACCCAGTCCTCAGACCGCAGGCCCTGCCATTCCACTTCCCATGAGAACAAGCAGGACGAGGACGGAGTCCGTGCAGCCCTGCTGAGCCCTCGCCCAGAGAAGCCGGGTCCTCCTCTCACCCTGCGTGTCTTCACACCGCTCACACCTCAGTGTTTCCCACGGCCGTGGGCTTTACCAGAGGGTGTGACTGGACCCTGAGACGGGCCCATCGCTGCCCACCCGCCACGGACCCAGGTTCTCTGGGCTCCAGGTGGTCGGGCCCAGCAGGCCTTCCTGTCATCCCATCTGCGGGGTCTGAGACCGACCCTGCCTAACCCTGGAAGCCCTCACCTCTCGGTGACGGGGGAGCCCTCGGGCTTCCGGGAGATGATGTAGCGGCAGCTCAGCCCCGCGTCCTTCACCATCTGGTCTCCCAGGAACTCGGCCAGGCGCTTGGCGGTGCTGATGGACGTAGACTTCTGCTCCCCGTAGTCTTCCAGCTTCCGGGACATGGAGCGGTTCTCAGAGATCAACTCGAACAGCTCGGAATCTGGCATGTTCGCTGCCTGGAGAGAGGACGGGCAGAACATCGTGCAGAGTGAAGGAGCGTCCCCCGCTCACCTCCCTTCTTCCCCCAGAATCGAGTTTCCCCAACGGACGAGCTGAAGGAGTGTAATGCTAAGGCCGCCTCACAGACACAGCAAGACTGAAGAACCACACAGGAAGCCTGGACGTTTGTGCTCCTGTGCACAGGTGTCCCTGGCCTCCCCGCTCACGAGTACTGCGTGTGCCTTCCCCCTTGGTGCTCACGAGTCAACTCTACACAGAACAAAGCATGCCAGGAACCAGATGCCACAAAGCCAAGGGAGCCAGCCAATGTTCCAGAATATTCCACTGTTCCTTCCATCCCAAAGCCTCTTCCTAGCCAGCCCTGTGGGGGGGAAGGCATCTGTGCAAAGATGTCTGACGTCATCACGATGGAAAGCGGGGGCCTCCCTGACACCACAGCAGAGGCCTCGCTCGGGAAACTGACCCCCCACGCAGACTCGACATGCAAGCAGCACAGGCACCGTGATCAATTCCACAGGAAGGCGTGTTCAAGACAGGCCAACTCATTTAAATTGTAGGAATTGTATGTGCATTTACAGGGCCAACAAAGCCTGAGAAATCAAAGAAGTTAATGTGACGCTTGGCAAGTTTTCCTCTTAGATTCCTTTCTCACATGCTGTCTGTCTCCTTCACAGAATCCTGCCGCTGGACACACTCAGCAAGTCTTGGGATTTCACCAGCATTAGCCCTGAGTTCATCTGTCACTGGGTCCCTCTGCCTGCAGGATCCCTCCGAGCCAGGTGGGAGGGCGACCTCACCTTGCTGTACAGCACGTCCAACCAGTAGTCGGCCACCTTGGCGACAGAGCCGTACACTTCCTCCAGGGTGCTGCCCCTGAGGAAGGCCTCGAACACGGACGACTGGAAGATCTTGATGAGCTGCAGCTCCCCGCGGCGCTTCACCTCGAAGCCCTTGAGCTCGGCCAGGGAGCCGTCCTCGTTGAACACAGCGTACCTGGAAGCACAGCGGGCACAGCGTGACGGAGCTGTGAGCTGGCTCCTCACTGCCCTCCTGACCCCACCTCTCAAATCCACACACGTCTCTGCACTGAGGGTCTCCCTCCAACATAAAAACGACTTTAGGGCCTGCGCCCGTGGAGCAGAACCTCACAGGTGGAGATCAGAGCTGGTGGCATCAGCGTCAACAGCTTCCCAAACTGAGGCAAAAAGGCCAGAAGACAGGACTGAGGTCTCCCCACCCTGGCTCCTGGTCCATCCCGGGCAGGTTGCTAATCGAATCCGTCGTTTCCTTTCCCGTGCACCGAGGCTGGGGGGCTCCTACCTCTTCTTCAGCTTCTTGCCTTCTTCCTTGGAGGCTGGAAGGATCATGGCAAGGTAGGGCCCGTCAACCTCGAAAAAGATGCTGTTCTCGGAGCGGGTGACGTAGGTGAGCGAGGACGGCTCGGCCAGCTCCTGGTACTGATCGTTGGTGAAGCCTTCCTGCAAAACCAGACCAAGAGGGGCAGCCGCACCGTCACCAGCCAAACCTGCACATGACTGGGGCTCCCAGCAGTGGACAGGGCCTGCCCAGTCCCCTCTCCCAACCCACGTCAGACAGGCGCTGGAACCAGGCTCACCTTGACCATGATGTTCAGCATGGCCCCAGGGTAGGAGATGGTCACCTTGGGCTTCTTCACGCTCGTCGTGGTGATGACAAAGTTTTCAGGGAAGCTGTTGGGCAGGACGCACCATATCCCATCTGTGTCCAGCTCCAAGGGCCTCCTTCAGAGGACAGAGAGTGAGGCCACATGCAGGCCGGACTGTGGCCCGTGTAGTAAGAGGCCCCCGTCAAGTCCTGACAGCAGACGAGGTCCCCCACTCTCCAGTCTTTGCCGGCCTGCTCCCGACTCAGGACTCACCCGATCTGCTCGATCAGCTCCCTCGCCTGGGTGATGATGTTGGCCCCCGTGAAGCAGACGATGCCGGCCATCTCCATGGAGTACCAGCGGGCCCTGGGAAGGCAGTCACAGCTGCAGGTGGGTGGGCTCCCCCCAGAGGGTCATCGAGATCAAAGCGGGGGGGGGGGGGAGGGGGGGGAGAAGGGCACCAAGAAGGGGACTCAGAAGCTGGGCCGGAGGGCTAAGGGGGACTTTAGCTCTGTGCTGAGAACCTTCTCTGTTCCTACTTCAGTGTGTTGGGCTCGGCTCTGGAAAGTTCTGGAAGGAGGCAGCACAATGGTTCATGACCTCAGCCTCAGGGGATTCTCCACACCATCCCCGATGGTCGGTGTCCCCGTGAGCCTTCTCCACTCTCCCACCCCATGTGCATCCCCCAGCGACTCAGGGAAAACACGCTCGAAGGTGCCCTCAGCGGCCGCTGGCCCACTGTTCTCACACCTCCTGCCTGAAACTCTGCTCCAGCCCTGCTCTCTGCCCCACTCCCTCTGCCGTTAAAAAGCAGCACAATACACACAATGACCCTCCCTCCAATCCAGTCCCTGTGCCACCCACTTCTCTTCCTCCCCAGAGCTGCCCTGCTGACCCTCCCACCTGGTTACATCCAATGGAGACACTCAGGCCCCACCTCACCCCATCGCCATGCAGCACCCAACCCCGGAACCCGGGCCCAGGAGGTCTCCACCTCGGGCCGCTCCCTCTCTCCCCCCGCCCCACTCAACCTCTCAATCAACTCTACCCCTTTGTGAATCCCACGGCTGCTTAGCATTGATGAATGGCTGGGACCGTCTCCACGGCCTGGTGGTGACATTCCTTAAGTCACAGACATAGGACAGAAACTACCAAACTGCTGTCTCCTGCCCAGGACGTTCAGACGAGCATGCCCAGTGGTGCCCATGCCCCTTGTTACCCCAGACCCACGAGTCGATGTGGCCCTCCCTCCACCTGCCCCCAACCGCTTCCAGCCACGCTTCTGTAGAGAGGCCCACAGGCGCCCAGCTCTCCCCTCTCCCATCCTTCACTCACTAGCTCCACAGCCCCGCCCAGGCCCAGCAAGAGCGTACCCTTTGCGCATGACGTAGCCGTAGAAGGAGTTGAGGATGCACTTGTGTGCCAGCTGCAGGGAGTCGTACAGCACCTCCATGTTCTTGCAGCGCTTGACCTCGGCCGCGTCGCCCGCCTCCACGGCTGCACTGAGCTTCTTTTTCCACACCTGGGGACACACAACGCCTAGATCACAGCTCCCACTCTACAGTCACAGCTACTTCACATCTTGAAAACTTCAAATGTATCGGAAACTTAACAAACAGAATGAAGACCGCAGGCACTTCTAGAGGGTCACTTGATATTTGGCCATATTTCCTTTATTCCTCCCTCCCCCCCTCCCCCCTTCCTTTCTTCCTCTCTCCCTCTCTCTCTCTCTCAGCACGGTCACTGACATTGAAGGTACTAAACCTGTCAGCACACACTTTCTAGGGACAAGGACAAGCTCCTGCATAACCGTAATGCTGCTCCCACCCCGAGGAAACTCACCACGGACACAACATGGACTTGTCCCCATGGGTCTGCACAACCCAACCCAGGAGCCAGGCCCGAACCACATGCTCAGTCCTCACGTGTCCCGATTCACCTTTAACCTAGAACCGCCCCGTAAGGCTGACGTCCTGAAAGGGCTTCTGAACAGAGACATGTGCCAGGCTCCGTTTTTATTTCCTGTGAGGTCAGGACTCGGAGAAAATACTCCATCACAGCAACAGCCCACTGGACACCTTAGACTTGGGGGCAACTTCACCTCCTCGGACAGAGCCCAGGGCCTGACAAGGAGGACCTGGGGGCCGAGAATGAGTGCACGTCTGAAGAGCAGCAACAGAGGCAGGGCTTCGCGTGGCCAGAGACCCAGGGGCTCCAGGCAGCCCCATGATTCCATGCACTTACCTGATGCAGCTGACAAGCTGGTTATAGAGATTCTCAAACAACAGAACTCGGCCACCCTGACAGGCAGAGCACCGAAAGCAGGCACTTGAGGATGTGCTTGCACACCCACGACTGTCCGGCAGCACCCAGCCAGGGCCAGCATCTGAGAAAAAGAGGCCCACCTTGTGGAGACCTTTGAACTCATAGCGCCTGTCCCGGAAGGCGCGCACCGTGTCCACGTAGAAGGAGTTCTCCGCTGGCAGATGGTGGTGAGGCGCTCCTCCACCTTGGTCACGTGGATCTTCTTGTACGCCTTTCGGCAGTAATCTGAGGCACAATGGGAGGGGGCTCTGAGGCTCCACGTGGGAGACAAAGGAAGCCAGGATGCCATGGAGGCCAACCAACGCAGCTTTCTCTGCAGCTAGCTTATCACAGCAAAGAAAGGCAGCCCCCGTGTGAGTGGGCCAAACACGCCGAGACCACAGGGAGGAGCTGAGCCCTGAGCAATGCAGGGAAATGAGGAACGGGAACCTACAGGAGGAGCTGGGTCACCGAGGCTTCAACGGCCGGTTTACTGACCGGAGGCCGTGCCGCACCAACACAGCCCAACGACGGCCCCTCACCTGCCAGCCTCCTCTTCTCATATTTCGCCTGCTCCTCGCGGGACAGCTCGTGAAAGGCCCGGGCGGGGCCGTCAGGGGTCAAGGCAGGGAACTTCTCCGACTCCAGCTGGTGTTGGATCCGATGGTACTCGCTGCGACTGGCCGGCACTGGGAAGGTGGCAGGTGAGAGAAGAGTGTGAGAGACCCACCGCTTCCTGCTGAGCACCCCAGCCCGGCAGGCACTCACTGAACTCGCCCCTCCACTGCCAAGCCATCTTCCTCTGGCAGTTCGCCCCCGGCTTGTTGAAGTCACAGGCTGCACAGGTGGCCTCGTCCACCATGGCGGAGGGCTGCGGAGGGGACAGGAGGGAGCAGTTAGGGCCAGGCCGAAGAACTCCGTCCTGACGCAGGCGTCCGTCTTACCTGCAGGCGGTTCGTCAGGATGATGTTGGGGTACATGGCGCCCACGTCCAGGTGGTAGATAAGGGGACACTCGATACGGTTAGGAACATCTTTCAGGGAGGTGAGCTTGGCCTTAATCTGATCACACACCTACAGAGGAAGAGGAAGGAGGTGGAGGCTGGTGACCCGATAAAAACTGGAGACTAGAGATCGAAGACAGCCCAACACCAGGCCGGGAGGTGCAGGAGGCTTGCACGCAAGAGCAGAGCCCTAATGAGGACAGCACGGCAGGGGCAGAATTGGAAGTGGGAGAAAACTGCTGAATCTGTTACAAGATGTTCCTTGGAACTGATCCTAAAACTGGTACAGACTACCCCCAGGGGAGTCAGCGAACGCGCTGCAGTGCTGAGCGGAGCCCGACAGTGTCCGAGGGATCAGCGCCAGCACGGGGGAAGGTGCCTGGAGTCCCCAGGCAGGTGACACACTGCAAAGGACACTTGGTGCTCATATTTGATGGGTTTTAGTCACTATATCCTACTCTGTAATTCTTAAGAATTTACTGTCATCACTAAAAAAATTTTTTTAAATCTTCACCAGAGGACATGCTTAGAGAGGGAGAGAGTGTGCAATATGCATGCATGTGAGAGAGAAACACGTGAATGCTCCCCGACTGGGGAATCAAACCCACAACCCAGGTATGTGCCCTGACTGGGAATTGAACTGGCAACCTTTCAGTGGCTGGGATGACACTCAACCAACGGAGCCTCTCTGGCCAGGCCCCTTAACAACGAGAACATAAACTGAAAGCCTCCAATAGCTCCTCGCTGCCTACTGAATCCAAGTGGGCTAAGAACCCCCACGTTCCCAGAGCCTGTGCCGCTCTCCCAGCCAGGAAGTCGGGCATCGACTGTGACAACTCTGTCACCCGTCTCAGGGCCCAAGCACCAGCACACAGTAGGTGCACGACAGGCCACGCGTGAAGGAAGCAGTCCACAGGCGTGAGAACACCTGCAGAGAGTTACCTCTTGGAAGTTGGTGACCTGCTCCATGGGCACCTTCTCCTCTTCCTCGATGGCGTGACGCATGGTCTTCTCCACCCGCTGCAGCAGGAAGTCAAAGGCGGCGGGATTCTAGCGGAAGTGACCGAGAGGGGCACAGGTGAGACGGAGAATGCTCTGGCAGCCACCAGCCTACCTTGGGCGGGACGGGACGCTGCACTGTCCTGGACGAGGGCAGGCCCGACAAAGGACGCCTGGTGGGGCCGCCAGGGGTGAGGGCGTTCCTTCAGCCCTGGTGGCTCCTGGGTGCCTCTAAGCCGCAGGAGACCCTGGGGGCGCACCATCCTGAACCGGCAGGGGATGTCACTGCGGAACACGCCCGACTCGAGGGCCTCCACGTGGCCTCCCACGTAGGTCTCGGCGTCCAGCACGTGGCCGTCTTCCGTCAGCTTGTTGAACTCCTGCTCTTGCTTGTTGGGGAAGACGATGTTGGCGTGGAAGGCCTGCACCATCAGCAAGGCCTCGCACAGGGTCCCGGAGCCCTTCCGCAGCACCTACGGGGAAACACCAGGCTTCAAACCACGGCCCAGTCCACACAGGCTGCCAGGACCAGGAGAGCCACTGACCTCATCAGGCTCCATGGGGATGATGGTGCACAGGGCGAATATGAAGGGGTGGACGTACTTCATGTACAGGTAGTACGTGGCCACCGCGTCCGACACCGAATACGTGGCCAGAGTCTGAGGAGAGCACATCAGAGATAAGGGCCACGGCATGTCCGGAGGTCCCCCTTGACCCCCAGAGCCCCGAGTCAGCGCAGCACAGGAACCTGGGGCTGCTCGGTGGCCATCCGGCACATGTCCTCGGGGTCCAGCTCCACAGGGTCGTAGCCCAGCTTGGCTTTGGCGGCCGCCTTGAGGTTGTGGCTGCCCACAGGGAGGTAGCTGTCCCTCTTCACCCACCTAGAAAGGAGAGCAAAGGCCAAAGGTGAGTCTGAGACCAAGTCCAGGAACCTGTGGAAGGTGGCAAAGCTGGACACACACAGCAAGGTGCAGAGACCTAACAGGCACCCCAAGATCTGCATCAAGACCTTACAGGGTGCAGACCCCTTGGGAAAATCACTCACCTGGATCCAGGTAGTTTCACAAACACACCTGCAAACTCAGGAGATGCCAGAGCCTGCAGCCGCTGTCCTCAGCGAGGAGGGCTGTTTCCAGAGGCTCCCTCCCTCCCTCCCAGGTGTGGACAGGCCTGCACCCGTGGAAGCCCTCCCGGGACACTGACAAGCTGCCAGGGGAGCGGCGGGACCGACCTGAGGCAGTCCATGTGGATGCACTGGGGCGCCTTGTACTCCCCTTGGCTGTCCTTCTGGAATCCGATCTCCTGGTACATGCTCAGTCCGTGGACAGCTGCTCTGGCCTCCACAAATGGCCTAGGGACCAGAGAGGTTGGACAAGCACTTTCAGGTTAGTCTCTAATCCCCTCAGGGACAGGGAAGACTGTCCCCAGGGGATGCTGCGCTACCCCAGGAGCTCCTCACACCGACTCCTCAAATGCAGCGCCCTCCTACCCCTCCCCTCGCACTTTTCCCATCATTACCATCTCTCAGCATACACTTCAGTAGCATTAGGTATATTCCCAATTCGTGTAACCTGCCCTCCTGAACACGTTTAGTTGCTCACCAATTAGACATTAGACTCACCAGTCAAAAAAGTCCCCATTGTAGGTGACCATGATGGTGGGTTTGGTCTCCTGCACATGTTCAAACCATCTTTGGATGAGATGGACCTGAATTCAACGCATCAGGCACTCAGAGGGTTGCTTTTCTTTCAAACTCCTTCCAAGCACCTCTCCCAAAGTTCTGGAAAAGCAACCTCACGCAACCCTTCATTAGCGCCTGCACATGCGTGAGGGTCACAACAGGGACCCCAAGCCCAGAAGCTGCTGCTCTGACTGCAGGCACGCCGGGGCCTCAGAGGGTCAGCGTGCCTCTCCTCCCACCCCACCACAGCACCAGCAGCTTCCCAGCGACACCTCTACCTCGTCAGGCTCATTGAAGACACAAAAGGGCCCTTCGTACTCCGGCTTGGGGGTGAACTCAAAGTCCTCAATGTCCTCTGCCACGATCTCCCTGTTGGTGATGAGGTAGCCCTGGAAGTTCACCAGCAGGTGCGTGGGTCAGACACAAAGCTGAGCCCGCCTCTTGGCACTCGGCCCAGAAACTCAGACTACAGCAACCTGAGCAGCACTGGGCGCAGCCTGAGCGTCCACACCGAGCGTCAGACTCCCATCGGAAGGGGGAGCGTGCTGGTGTCAGACAGCCTGCTTGCTCCCTTCCTTGGATTCCACTCACTCATTATTCACCCAAAACTGAGTCATGGGGTGAACACTGTTCTGGTTTGGGGACCGACAAGGTCCCTATTTCCAGGGAGCTCACACTCCAGAAGGCACTGCTCACCTGGCCATCAATCATATAGGAAATCATCATAATCTGGTCAGTCTCAGCATCAGGAAACTTGAGGGGCAGTTTGGTCGTCTCAATGTCAAATGCCAAAACCACAGGGTCCTAGAGGGACAAAACGTAGCATGAATCGGCCACGGAACACACGCACCTTCAGCTAAAACCCAGAGGCCAGCTGCCACAGGGAAAGGCTCCCAAAACGTGGAACAGGCGCCTGGGGCTATCCGGCCCACATCAAGGATTCCACACCCCCTGGTGGAGTGACAGCCAACAATATGAGAAAAGGCTAGATCGCAGGAAAAGCCTACGACCGCACAACACCCGAGTCTCAAGGCTCCTTAAAATGCACGACCTCATCCAGGACGAGTTGCTCAGTTGGTCAGAGCATCGTCCCGATACACCAAGGTTGCAGGTTCAATCCCCGGTCGGGGCACATACAAGAACCAACCAATGAAGACATGAATAAGTGGAACAACAAATCATTGTTTCTTTCTCTCCCGTCCTGTTTCACAAAATCATAAAAAAAAAAAAAAAAAAAAGCTTGACCCCACTTTGGCCTTCGTGACAACCCTGACAGAAGACTGGCTCAGGGCTGACGTCGCCATCTTAGACCTGAGAAAACATGACCGTGAAGCTGTCCCCGAGCCGAGGCCTCCAGTTATGAATCCATTTTCACCACATACTCGCTATCAAGTCCCTGCGTGGAAGTCGAGGTGCTCCCTCCCACACTCAGATCCAGCCCAGCTCACACACATCACCCAGGGAGGCACAGGCACAGGGGAAATTACACTCGAAGCCAGAAACTGACCTGAAAAGTGACTAGTCCACAACTCCTTCCAGAAAGTATTTAGGAAAAAGCAGCAAGCAAACCCCTGAATCAAATTCACCTTTTACTGAATGAGACCTCTCCGAAAACCAACGGGAAACTGGGGGGGGAGGAAATGCAAGCAGCACTTACGGGCCGTTCAACCAGGTCATCTCGGCGGGTGATCTCCACCGGCGAGGCGCTCCCTCGGTGCCTGACGTTGTACCAGTGCGCCTGCAGGACGGGACCCTGAGCTAGAGCTCTGCCTCTGCTTTCGTGGATTTACCCTTCAGTCCCACCTCCCGCAGTTGGGCATCACCCATGAGCCACGCCCACTCACCACGTGGATCTTCAGGTCGATGGAGAGGCGGATGTGGTAGGGCACGTCGTACTCTCGCATGTCCACGATGTTGTCCAGTTGGTCCGCAATCTTCTTAGAGGTTTCCTCTTCGTCCATCATCACACTGCCCCCTTGCAGGACACTGTGATAGAGCGAGTGAGAGAGAGAGAGAGAGAGAGAGAGAGAGATAACTTAATTGCTTAATTGCTGAGTTTTCCCACCTCCCATCCATCTTGTCAATTTAGGAAAAATGGGAAAGTCCTGTGGGCTGACTGGCTGCTCTGCCCACAGGAGGAAACCTACCTGGAGAGCATAGCCGTGTAGGTGTCACTGGTGTGGCCCTGCTCCCGGTTCTTCCTCACGGCAGGGGAGATCTCCTTCCTCACTCGGACAAGGTCCTCCACGGTGTGGAAAGACAGCTTAATGTAATTTCGCTTCAAACCCACCAAGTGATTTGGCTGCAGAGTGAAGAGATCATGCTAATGAGTTCCAGAGAAGACGGATTTTATTGGGGAGAGAAAATAAGGGCAGGATGACTCAAAGGTAAATATACTTGTCAAAGAGTTGGCAACTCCAAGCACCTTGTCTAACCTTGCCTGTGGGACCAACGTCCAGGCGTCAAGGCCCCATCGTCGGTCCCTCCCCACACCCACAGGTGCCAAGCTTGGCCTCCTGCCAGGTCACTGCCGGCCGGCAGAGTGGGCCCAGCTTTACATACCCTGGAAGGTCTGAGGGACACTCACCAAGTCCAGATCCTCTTTGGGAACGGTCTCTACTTTAGCAAGTTTACCCTGAAACTTCTTGGAGAGAAAAGACGAAACTTCTCGCTCACAACCCTAAGTCAGGACCAGAAGGAAAGGCCTCTCCGTCAGTAAAGCCCATCTCCTTCCCTGCGGTCCCTCCAGAGGCCTCTTCGTTCCCAGTCCCGACGCTCCCCCAGAACAAGGAGGCACAGTTCATTGGAACTGACTCTCAGGGACCACAGTTACCTTCCTGGCCGCAATGTAGAAGTATGGTTTGTAGGGCAGCGCCACCTGCAAGAGTCACCAACCCGTTCAAGGGCGATGAGAGAGGAAAAGGGAGAATGGTGAAGAGAGGCTGCCAGACGCAGTGCACTGGCCTTGTCACATAGGAGAAACGGGGCCATAGGGACTTAGGGCTGCATGGCCCCGCCCCCTTCCCGGCGTCTCTCAGCACAGCACACCCTCAGTGGGCGCAGAGGCCTGCAAGGACCATGCTCCCGATGGGCTCCAGGCAGCAGCACAGGGAGGCCTCCCAAGCCTTGCAGCTGCAGAGCTAAATGAACATTCTCATTCTCAGCTCAGCGGAGCCTAGTCAGAGTGGGGCGCACCTTCTTGGTTTCAGGGGCTCACCTTAAATCTGCTCCCATCGTCTTGAATAAAGTAGTAATCCACTGCACTGACCAGGCGTTTATCTTCATCTAAAACCTCAGTCTGCAAGAGTCAGTATGGGCACGGGGTTATCCTCTACCCGGGGCGGGGTGTGGGGGGGGTGTGGGGGGGGGCATTGGGTCTGGCCCTTGCCAAGGCATTATGGGTGAGTTAATGAAATGCTCAACCAGCCCGAGGCAATTTGCTCAGTGGATAGAGTGTCGGCCTGCGGACTGAAGGGTCTCGGGTTCGATTCTGGTCAAGGGCACAGGCCAGGGTTGTGGGCTCCATCCCCAGGAGGGGGCGTGCAGGAGGCAGCCAATCAATGACTCTCTCATCCATGTTTCTATTTCTCTCTCCCTCTCTAAAATCAATAAAAATATATTTCAAAAAAAAATTTGATGAAATACAGCAGGCTAATTTTTTAGCTGATAATTTTGTCTGGTCCACGGACAACGTCATACATATCCAAATGGCCCTTGGCAGGAAGAGGGTCCCCACCCTGCTCTACACAGAGCCCCTTCCTCCTGCTCTCCATGAACCACACACCCCTCCCCCTCCCCCCCATCCACTTCCCACCCTCACCCAACTACACCACCCGCCCAGTCACCAGAACCAGCACAGCAGCCTCCCAATGGGGATCTCTCTCCATTTCTCCCTCATCCTTGAAAGTTATACTCTTACCCCCACCATCTCCTCAACGTCTTCTATGGCCCGAAATGCTAGAAAGTAGGAGAACTACAACAAGCCCATCTCCACTGTGCCACCCAAACAACAGGCTCCCACGCCAAGCGCACCCACCCTCAGGCGAGGGCCACGGGGGAGGAAGGGGGAGCCCGGTGCTCACCGGGTGCATATTGATCAGCCAGCCCGTCTTCTCCCCTGGCTCCTTGAGCCTCTCAAATCCGAACCGAGAATCCATCTTATCCGTCCACTGACTGCGCTCCAGGCGCTTGAGTGCGGACACAGAGGAAGAGGCGCCATCGTCCCTGAGCGGAAGGAAGGACTGACCAACACTGCAGACGGGCAAGGGGTGGCCACAGGGAAGGTTTGGGGGGCGAGGGGGGGGGGCTGTGGCTGTAAAAGGGCAGCAGGCGGATCCCTGGGGCAAAACTGCTCTGATTGCGGGGGAGCCCCCATCCCATGGTGTGACTGAAAACGAGAGTGGTGTCTTGCTATTTCACTCCCAATTAATTTAATCTTGTTCCCGATTCTTACCCCCCCCCTCCTCTTTTTTCTTTCACGCTATTACCAATCGGAGAATGGCCACCCTCTTCCCACCTTTTTTTTCTTTTCTCT